TATTTGTAGAAAAGGCACAGGGAAAGCGACTGAAGCCGAGATGCCAGAATAGGACCAGTAATATTGCTAATTCTTCTTTGGATTTTATCAAGGATTTCTGGATATATAGCAGCAGCACTGGACCATATGTAGCAGCAATGTTGTAAGCGTGGACGAATGGTAGACTTATAGATATGTAAGATAAATTCTGGAGAGAAAAACTGTCTGGGCCGACACAGTGAAACAACTTTGTTAGCAATGGATTTAATATAGTCTTGCCACGTCATGTCAGCTGAGAACGTTAGCCAAGAAGGCGCAATATTTGCTTACATGAAAATAAGATGAATGATTAGTAATTAATAAAAAAGGCTATCAGTTAGCCCATGATTTAAAGGTACCATGCTTGGAATATATCGATGCACTAGCATTATTTGGTGATGAGCGCTTTTTTGTGAGCGTCAAATTTTCCAAGCCTTCTTTCCTTCCTCATTATGCGCTCCCGGAAATTTAATCTCCCTCTTTCCACTTAGAAGTGTTTCTGTAAAGTTCCTATTTTTTTTTATATGGCATATCGCTTCAGGACTTAGGCGATCATGGGTTTCCACAGATTCCCCCACTCTTTTTTTTTTTTATTATCGGCTAAATGCTATGAATTCTTGGGAAAGATAGCGGAGTGGTTTCCTGTCGCCTTTCTCCACGATTTGTAAATCTTCCTTCGCCTAGGATAGAAAATTCATATATATATATATATATATATATATATATATATATATATATATATATATATATGTATTTAAAATTTTACTTTATTTCCTTTCCTCACTATTCCTACATATCACTTCCGTTTTTTTTTTAACCACATAAATAGATAAAGGTTAGGTCCTCCTCCTACTCCAATATAAAGCTTATTTAAGAGAGATATAAATTTAACCTCCCTATACTCTGTATTGTCTCTTTAACTGCCACTTTTACCCTCCTGTTTAATTACAAAATTACACTACCCATCAATTTCTAATCCCATTTTCCTCTCATTTCATTGTTGGAAGTGTTACCTGATGATCCGAAATCCTTTAAAAAGGATTTTGGTGAAATAAATTATTGTAATGGTACCTTAAAGTGGTCTGTTTTTCATTAAATATTCTTATATATATATATATATGGAAAGTGAACGCAATAACCTAGACTGAAATTCGAACTCTCCGCGTCGATTTCACTATGCTCGCCGATAACAGTTACGCCATTTTGCGCATCTCATCTCAAATGGTATGAAGCAAATCCAAATTGAAAAAAAATCCTTAGAATATAAAATTATTCAAGGGGTTTATTCATAGCATTCCTTGAGGCAATGACAAAGGTGAGAGGTTACTGCTTTTCACCCTTAAATATGATATAGCGGATTACATACTAATTACAAGTAACAGGGAGTAAATCACGACAAAGGGAAGGGTAGATTCATGCCTTTAGTGTATGGTGGATACAAACAAACTCAGCAGGAATTTAAACCTAAAATATATATAGATATGAAAAAAAATAATAAAATAGGTAGAAAGATAAATATAAACAGACTGAGATAGATTGATAAATAAACCGAGATATATAGGGATATATATATATATATATATATATTGTAATTATTATTTTCATTATTATTTCTGTTAATATGTATATCTTTGATTTTTTATATATATATATATATATATATATATATATATATATATATATATATATATATATATATATATAGAGAGAGAGAGATTGATTGAGAGCGATAACCTAGATATATAGATAGATAGA